CCCTAATTATATATATTTCCATTGGAACTTAACATTTAAGTTATTTTGGTAAAAAAGTAAAATATAGGGCTGTCAGTTCCTACTGTTTCTTCATTTCTGCAATAAATAAAATATTATTTGCAGTATTTCTCTTTTAAGCAAAGACCTTTTACATACCTCCATATTTTAATATTGGTATTTAGCGATCTCATAATGTGCAAGGTCTGTGTTTTGTAGTGTCACCTAGTGGGTATTGCTAATTTTATCCCAGTTATATTTTTAGAGATAACATTACATAGTAGCATTAAAATGTTAAGCATTGCTTTTTAATAAAAAAAAAATTTAGTTTCACAATAAACATTTACGTTCTAAATCCTGTATTGGAAAAAGTAGTCTTCTTATCCTATTTTTAAAATTGTGTAAGAAGTATTTAAATATACATGAACATGCATTTAAATGCATCTAGATGTGTATAAGAGACAGTGCTTTTAAAATCGTATAAATGCTCTGGCTTCGGGGGCTTCGCCCCCGGCCCCCACAGGGGCTTAGCGCCCCACCCCCTTGACCCCACCCGGGGCCCTTTGGCGGACCCCAGGACTCCACGCCCAGAACCCCCCCTTGAAGCATGCTGGCTACGGGCCTGCCATGACTGTGGATCCGATGTCCCTCGAGGGGGGAAAGGGCGATGTCTCCGATGGTAAGGCCAATTTTTCCGACGGCAAAGTGGGCAGGGAGCGGAACGGCCAAGCACCACTCAGACGGGTTCTGAAGAGCGAATCACTTTTGAAACTCCAACAATTAGGGATTTGAAAGGCTTTGTTTCGGTATGCGTGATCGAGGGCAAGGTAAAAGAATCACAAAAGCTCAATATATAACTTCAATATAAATATTTAATAAAACGATGAGGAGTATAATGATTTTGGTCCGATGTTGTTGTCAAAAGAATCAAAATTAAAAACTGACTATCCTAACTACTAAAGTAACTTATATACAGCAGGGGGACAGGAAGCAAGGGCTCATCAAGACATTCCTTACCAGTGATGTAGCATAAACATCCTGAGTGACTTTCCCAGTAAGGAATG